GGTCTTCCAAGTGGTTTCTTTCTTTAAAGTTTTCAGACAAACATCTTGTTCGCATTTCTCGTCTCTCCCAAGAATAGTCATTCCTCGTGGACTTACTTCTAACAAGGATTGTGAATTTTAAAGAAGTTCGTTGCACACTTTCACCACACCAGAAGCTATTTATGACGTTCATCGTGCAGAGTTAGATATTACGACATTACATGACATATATAGACTAAGAAATTGCCCACAGCGTCGTTAAATAAACACAAGCGAACGCACATGTTACTTAAAGCTAGTGGCACGTTCTCACAGCCTCGTGGATTTTTCCCTTGTCTTTGACGCAGGTAATGTGACGTCACTAACACTACACTCCAGAAATGTCCGTTCTGTTCGCAGTTCACAGTACATAATTATTTCGTGCGCGGCAAAAAGGGATTTGGTCGACAGGTATTACGTTTGACTCCGGCCCTCTTTTTATATATTTATATTTTTTATTTATTTAGTGTTCTGTCTGACGACAGGTCCATATGAACGGGATCCTTCCATCCTTTTCTCGGACTGGGACCTGTTCATATACGTTCTTGGCAGATGATCCAGAAGTGGTTTGCCATTGCCTTCTTCTGTGTGTGAATGGAGGAATTGTTGGGATGCCACGGAGGAAAACTCCGCGTTCCCTAGACCACGGCCTTGTCCAACACAAGTTATAAATTCGGGCACAGCCGGGAATCGGGGTCTCGGGTTCGATTCCCGGCGGTGCCCGAATTTATAACTTGTGTTGGGGGCCCTCTTTACCGAGTAGTAATTATCCTGTTATATTATACGACGCTTTACAGCACCTATAGCCGATGAAGCGTCGTTAAATAGCCATCGATCCAAGCAGATGAGTTGTGAGATTCAGAACGGTCGGAATCTGCAAATGCCGACTGTGTGTGTGAGAGGCTGCCGACATAATCCGGAGGAAGTTGAACCCGGAACCTCCGCTGTCGTGATGCTTGCATGGCCTTCAGCCTGTCTGACCTACAATCACAACAAACGAAAAGGAACATCATTTTACTCTCTGATCATCTTCTCATCTTTAAAAACCGACATTCTTATTCAGGCACTCCCTCATTCACCCACTTAAGACTATCACTCAACCGGAAGTTGCCTGTCTTCTGGGTTGTTACGCCCTGTAGCCTGGTAGAAATTTACCGACGTTTCAGAGGTGCTTACTGTCTCAGTCATTAGGGCGATCAGTCTTATTCAATCCAGAAGACAGTCATTTTTATACTTCCCACCATGAGAACCTAAAATTTCACGTCACTCAATTACTACCCATTCACAGCAATTAATCATTAATCACTGACTTAATTAAGTTATCCGTTCACTCATATAGTTTGTTACACTTTTGTAATCAGTTTATATTATGGCAGATTTCATTACAGAAGCAAAATCCAGCATGAAAAGAGAAATGTTTTCGCGACAGATAAATTAGTGCAAAGAAAATACTATAATAGAATGTTGGATGCCTTTCCTACCATATTCCAGGATTCACGTTAAAATGACAAAATTCCTTCCAATAATCTCAATGTAAATAACAGAATTTTTTTTAAAAAAATCTTGATTCAAAGTATCTGTCTGCAGCTCAGTTGGGTACAGTATAAATCACATTTCATTATTATTTCATCGAAATAACCAAATTTTTACCAACAGCGTCTTATTTTATACCATTACATGTTTCGGTCAACTTGTGGCTATCTTCAGGTAAAACAGAAAGATTAAATTGAACTGCAAGGCATATTGTTTTATTTTTTTCAAATATGAGTGTGACGTGGTGAGCGTGATGAGATTAAAATACAAAAAATAAAAATAAAATAGTGAATTCTATTCGACCACACCTTAAGTGTTTAATCTACGTCCTAAAATGATCCTTATTGGTGTAGTATCAGTACGGAAAGCAACATAATGTACTTTCTTAAAGATTTTAACTATTTTATGTTTAAGATGTGATCGAATGGAAGTCGCCGTTTTAATTTTAATTTATTTTATTTATTTTGTTCTCAGGAAACGTCACACTCATATATGAAAAATCAACACGTCATACAGTTCAAATTAACCTTTTTGTGTGCCACCGGAATATAATCACAAGTTGGTCGAAACATGTAATGACAGAAAAAAAAACACTGTTGGCAAAGAAATGGCTGTGTAGATTGACTAATATTTATTGTAATTACGTGCACAGCACAACAGGAAGACTCAAATATACATCCACAAAATTATATGCTTGTGTGTGTCGGTTATGTCTTAGAGTTTATCATTGTTTTAGAGGCCAAAATATCTCTGAAGTAAGAAAAAAGGTTTGAAAAGCTGCGTTTTAATTCTCTGTGCGCGACCAGAGCTGGTTCTGGGTGCTGACAAGTATACAGACTGACCTGATTTCACCAAAGGCGTTTTATGATATTTTACGTACAAGGATCACCTAGCAGTTATTGAAACTGAACGAAAAAATGGGCGGTATTGTTCCAGCATGTGTGACTCACATTCTGAAGGTCCATTGACTGAATCCTGTTCTGACAGACTAGGTCACGGCTAATCAAACAGATCCGGCGAGAAGAGAAATTTTGTGGTCCTCTGAGAAAGTCAGAGCCACCTCTTCCAAAATCTAACAGTTCGTTGGTTGGTCGAGAAATTAATCGTCTTTTATAAAATCCGATGATTCATTCTCCACTGGATTCTATAATGACAAATTCCATTCACTCTCTCAACTCTTCCATCCTATTTCATTAAAATTAATTTTAATATTATCCTCCGATTTGCGTAATCTTCAAAGTAGTTCTTTTTTTTTTTGGGGGGGGGGGGGGGTAAAACGTAACCTATACATTTCTCGTCTCTCACACAAATATATACATTGTGTAATTTCCTCCAGTCCAAGACGATATAAAGCTACATTCGTTACAGTCCCGTGACAAATGTTATTCACTGAATCGATTGGAATTTTAAAATAGCTGTCTTCTGGATTGTTGCGCCATAACATATGGCAGAACTGTGTCGCGAGCAGCTTATTCGTCATCCTGATTGTGGAAGCAGCAAGGACCCAGAAACGTCAGTGAAGTTCTGTCAGTCTACGAGGCGCAACTTTCCAGAAGATAGCCATCTTCATCACCACCGACGTGAGAATCTGGAATCTCAATTGGAATTTTATCAAATTTGTCAATCAACACGATTCCTCGAACGTATAATTGTCTTTTGGCATAATAATATAGAGCCTCATCTTGTTCATTTTTCTATTTGAAATTTTTTTCGATATATATTCTTTTTAAATAGAAGAAAAGTAATGGATTTCGATCAAATGTGGTAATGTCTACTATGAAATTTGTCACACTAATTGAATTTTAATTTGGATCGATGCAATATACCGAAAGTCGTCAATTTTCTTTTAGGAAGGTTCACTGTAAGAAAATAAAATGGTGCATGACACAGAGTGAGAACTTCATTGAGACCCACGAACATCCGACTCCATGGAGTGCAGTGTCCTTTGGACGACTGGGTACGAGACAATAGATCCTATCTGCCTTTGGACACATCAACGCTCGTGTGGAACATAAATTCGTGGAAAATGTATGCAAGTACTCCAATGGAGTTGACGTTTACATTTGCCTTTTGTCAGCTCAAGAGGCTCCCTGGATCCCACATCAGACAAGGATGCGCGTAACGAGAGTCATCAGCACAGACCGGTCAAACAGCTTCCAGACTGCTGTGTCTATTTCTTTTACAACCCGGGAAAATTCACCGTAGTATGTTCCACAACATTCTCATCTGTTTTCATTAGCATCATCCAACGATTGGATGCTTATGGACTGGGAAGGAAATGGAAGCAAGCAGTCGCGGCCTATTTTAAGGTACCACCCCGCAGGGACTGAAGAAAACCACGCCACCACAAGATCGCTTTCAAAATCTCCCGTACACCAACGTAGGGATGTTAGCCGCCATATTAATTAGGCTGTCTTGGTTGTTTTATGACGCGCTGGAAGTCTAGGGCCGCTAGCGAGAGGATCGCCGTGCGTCATGACGCGGCAGACCCACCAACTTCTGGTTGTACTCTTCAGCATTGCTTACGATTCTGCACCCGGGTTCGAATTCTGGTACTCACACGGACGTTTAATCTCGGCATATGGAGAAACGAAAAATTCTCTTCACAGCCGGGAATCGGATCTCCTGTCTTCTGTCGCACAACCAACAACTTTTCTGAGCTTCATGAGAGAATAAAGAACTCACATAAGTTTTAGTGTCAAATTACGAAAAAATGTCCTACACACAAGCGCACTTTTCGTCTAAAAATCTGAGGCTACTTTGCGTTCAATAAAAAAGATGCTAAATTTTAAAGTGTCAGAAGATAACAAATATCTTATCTTTAAAGACACATTTTTCGTTGGAAAAACTGAAGGTAAGAGGACACCTTTAAAGCCTGGGTATAGATGGGAAGATAATATTAAAATGTATCTTAAAAATATGATGGGAAGGTATGGAATGGATTCATCTGACTCAGCAAAGCGCCCAACTGTGGTCTCTTAGGAATGTGCTAAAGAAACTTCAAGTTACACAAAAAGCGGGGATTTCTTGACAACGTAACAGCGATTATTGGGTCTAAGGAGTTAGACGCCAGTCCAAATATTGAATTTCCTCATTTAGTAAACTGAAGACCACCTTCTGAACGTGAAAGTATGAACGCCGAGGCTGCATGCGGACTCCAACATCCGTCTTCAGGCAACTGCAAACAATTGCCCTTTGCCTTGTGGTAGTAAGCACAACAGAAGCCAGCAGCAGTGGAGAGGAACTGGTGGATGAACATACACCTGACCTCTGACCCCGAGGAGCATCACGACATCATCACTGGCAGGGCATCCTGGTTTGCAGGTCGACAACCGAAGACCGACAGGATAAAGCAGGATGCCACGAGGCTTGCAATTGTGACGTCACTTTTAGACCTCGCGCGCAACAACAAAACTACTGCAAGCTGTGAGAACAGAAGCGGTGAGTGTATATAAAGCGAGAAGCCAGAAGTGTGGGGCAGAAATCCGGCTAGTGAGTGGTGGGTGTCGTAGGAGAACATGTGGTTGCTTCAGAAGTGGATGTGACATGATCGGAGACTTTAAACGTTGTTTATGCGACACGTTAACAAATCTTCGCATCTGATAAACTGACGCCTAATTTTTGTAATTTAAATAGTAGTGTTTGTAAATTTAAACCATTTTCTGAAACTGTATAAAACTGTCTGCAAATAACTAATTTTACTCAACTGAATACATTATTTCAGAAAAAGTTAGTGTGAATAAAATGAAACAAAGATTAAAACGACAATGACTGAGAAATATCTATCAAAATCTATTAAAATTCATAGACTGAAATTAATCTTATTAATAAAACAAAGAAACTGTTAAATTCGTAAAGTAGCCATACGTCATTCATAAAAAGACGCTTGGCTTGCAACTTCCAAAAACATTAAACAGTGCGTTTAATTAATTTATTTTTACAACAGAATCATTATTTTCGGATTACTAATGTATTTAATTTATTGTATTTATTTTAAGTGTAAACTGTGTCAGATTCCAATACATGCCTTTTAATGCAATGAAGTGAGCATGAAAGTGTCTAACAACGTCTGTAGTTGTGAAATGCTGTGAAGCGAAATTAAATCAAAGAACGTCACCCTGAATGACGTAAAATTAACGCAACGAAATGACGCCAGTTGCATCGTTCATCGTATTAGGTAAGAGCAGCAGATAACACGAAATGAGGGGCGTCCTTCATTCCAGGTGTGTACAAATTCAAATACCTGGGAATAACACGAGGTTCCTGAGGGAATTATAAAATAATAAATTTACGAAATGTGTTCCATGAGCCGAGATGGCTCAATAGGTAGATTGATGTGCTATTTCATGGGCAATTGGGGTTGATTCTAGTAGATACTGCACCAGGAACTTCTGACAACTCGCTTTGTGTTACATGTCACGCTATAATTGGCTTGCAATATCGATCAGATTGGGGGACAACAAAGTCATACTCTGATAAAATATCTTGATAAGTGACTAAAGGAAATATGGGAAAGTTTTATTAAAATGTATGCCAGGAAACTAGGTTATAAGATTGCGACTTGGATGAAATGGATGCTAAAATCCAGTCTAATGGTGTAATAGGATATTGAAATAAAACCTTACGATAATGAAATTACATCTGTCAAGACGCTTTGGGTGTGGTAGTCGTAAGACAAGCATCTTCTGTAATCCATACAGAACTCACGATTAGGCCCACGCAAATGAGTCACTGCATCTCTTTGTCTTCACGTTACAAAATATCCGCGCTCTACGTGAGTTGCAAAATTCGACCTAACCTGTTCACGTAACAATACGCCGATTGCAACGCACATGGGTTTTAAAGGGTGCAGATTTCGCATCGATCCTGTTCTTCGAGGGATCGAATTTCTACCGACCCGAGAATTGATTTTCAGAACTAAACAACTAATTAACGAACTCTATGCAGCCGTAAACCTTCTTGAGAAGCTGGCAGTCACTTACCTGGCCAAATGGAACCCGAAAGTTCATCATTGTGGTCATCCTGAACCAGCAGAGGTCTGCACAGGCAGAAACTTTAGAATTTTAGCCAGCCTTCCCCGAGGACCATTTGGCCCGACCCAACCCAAGTCCGAATTTTATTTTCAAATATGTTACCTGTTTTCTACCTAAACCCGACTTCCTTTCATTACAGCCCGAATGATGCCCGATCTATTTACAATCTGCCCTGATTATCGTGACGCTCTAAGAACATCTGGGGTTATTTTGGCATTTGAGGAACGTTACAACGATATCGGATGCCAAGTCTGTAAGGAGTTATTACGAAATTTTTCTGGGAGGGTATACGAAAATCCACGAGAAAATCAAGTCGGTGGGATTTGTTTCTGAACTTCGACAGCGTCACTGGCATATGATGAGTGGAAATACGATTTTTTGTTTGGCCCGTGAAAACCTCTAGTCGCCAAGGTCTTGTAGAATTCAAACGCTGGGATCACGGATTCTAATCCTGTCCGGGATACAGGTTAAATCGGCATGTACTATGCTTTTTTGTTGTTGTTGTTTTGTTTTGTGACGCGATGTTACATAGAGTCACCGGATGTCCAGGACCTTCTACGCCGTTAATGAAAACTGTGAACGATGACAAACTAAGAAGAAGAGGACATGGTATTAAAGTTAATTACGGTTTCGTTGGTTTCACATTCTGTTAAACGTGCGGTAGTAAACGACGCAATAAATAGTTTCGCCCGTAGTTCCGGGAACTTTGTAAACCTTCGCATGCTGACGTTGTCGCCGTCTCAGCTAATTTGTTGAGATGTTTACAGCGTTCGATCGCGTTACGCTTTATTATAACGTCACACGATAGTAACCTTGACAATAATCAAGAACCTAGTTTACCGGAACCATAATATGGCTTAGGAATGAGCCATAAAATCAGAATCCAGGTCTCTCTGATAACATAACCAGATGGTTTAACATAGGTAATGCAACATGGTACTGACCTACTTCAATCTAGTTAACATCTGCACAAATTACTTTGCTGCTTTATATTTCAATTTTTTAATAGGGAGATTCTTCACCAGTTGAATGACTATAAACTTCTCAAGAAGGACTCTGTCCATTGAAGCCAGTTAGCTTCATAACATGAACACATAAAATTAGTTACAAGATGCCTGGAATATAGTCACACGAAACTAATGTTTGAAAGCATGTGTAAATAAATAACTAAATACACATTTTCACAGACATAAGGTAAAAGAAAGTTAATATTTGTAAGTGTATATCCAGAAAGAAAATGATAATTTGAAACTTTTGCATGTGGTAATTAAAACACATGTAATAATTTAAATACTGATTAACAATTAAATATGGTTACCCTGCCAAGCAGTGTTCAAATTCAAGGAGGATGCAAGGCGTTAAATCACACACCTCTTTCTTGTAATGTCACCTCAATGCAGACACCTTTATAATATTGACCATTAATTATCTTCTTCTTTCCGGTTTAACAATGTTTGTACATTTTCCGGTACCCTTTACGGGTCCCCAACGTTTCAGTTGGCTTGATCTATAGACATTCGGTAGGACTCCTTGGACGAGGGATCGGCCCGTCGCAAAGCCTCTACCTGTACGCAGGACAGCACAAAATAGAAAAACATCCATGGCTTGAGTGGGATTCGAACCCATGGGCCCTGCGACCAAGCGGCACAAGACCCACGCCTCAGACCGCGCGGCCACTGCGGACCCTGACCATTAATTATATGTTGTATATTTTTATAATTTGCTTTCAGGTGTCCTGCCAATAATCAGTACTGTGCCTACACTAGATGATGGTGTACTGTGGGTAAGTGTAAACACAAAATCTCTCTGATAATCTAATTACAAACAAAGAAATATGGAATTTAACAATTGTGTATTATCCGTACATTAGTAGACAGCTACCAGAACAAACAGATGTAAGTATGGCCCAATAAAAAGACACTAACTGTGCATGTGTGTTAATTTATAACTTACAGCCTTTACGAAGATAAGCTGAGAATATATTTTTCATGACTTGACTCAGAATTCTAAAATTAGCAGTGTGGTTCCTAGTGGCGTATCTTTTATTTGGCTTCTAAATCTAACATTTACTCACATAATCCCCATACCTTAAGTCCTCGATATCTGCAAATGTCCAACAATACTCCAGTATAGAGTGCACTGTAAACAGTTTCTTTCAAGAGACTTCAGAATGAAAGTGTAACTTGGTTATATTATGTCTCATTTAGGCACTTGGAGAAAGTAACAGTTCAGATAAGTCTTCTGTGGCTCTTCTTGTTGGCTCTGAAGGGGGCTATTTGTCATTCTCCTGCAATGACAGAGAAAATGGGTTGTACGAAGATCCAGTATCTTGCAGCCTTCATTACAGGTGAGATGATGTAAATACAAATTTCAGATTATGGCTTGCAGTTTGCACAATACACATTTTTGTTCTTTCCATATCAGACTTATAACTTATATTGTAATTTTTGAGTTTTTATTCATTTATGCTCATTTATATATTATAATTAATGTATATAGCCAAGAATGAAAACTAAAACTTTAAATTTAACAGTGTTCAATTTTTGCAAAGTCTTTGTGCAGATCCAAGGTACTTTGTTGGTATCTACTACTGCCAGCTTGACGTTTCTGGTCTCTGCCAATCCTAGGCAAGCCTAGAATCAATTTCTAAGATAGGGACACCCAAACATCACATTTGGTTAACACCAATGATATTGTATTATGAATATGATAAATGGATTAAAACTGGCTTTTATGGACTTACAATGGATGTGTTTACTGGCAGTATGGTGGAATTCAGGTATAACCTTAAAGTATGTTTCAAAGTATTAATACAACATGTTACAGGTGTTCTCATGGCTATCGAGAGGTATACAAGTGTCTGGATGGCTACCTATTTAATGCAGAGACAATGCGGTGTGAAGAAGAAATTAATGTCACCTGTGTTGATACAGCATATGATCCATGCAAGAGGCAAGGTGATGGTATATATGCAAACTACAGCACCAACTGCCAAGATTACTATAGGTATCCAGTCTTGAAGTTACTTTTGAATATCAGTACTACTTAAAGTGCTATGGAATTCAAAACCTCTCCCCATGTATAAGAAACTCAGTACCATACGTTCACAATAGAAATACATAACTTGACTGAATTTGAAGATATGTTGCCTGTTATACTATTTGGATGGGGGTTTTAGAATATTTCAACCCATAACACAATGTTTTAATCTTTGTCCCCCAATGAGGGGTGTATTTGCACCCCAATGTTTGTCTTTCAGTCACAGATTCATAGGCAGCAAATCCAGTGTTATGAAAAAACTAAGTCATGTCAGAAAGCCATTTCTATTTGATACTATTGAAATGTGTTTAGAAAAAGTAATTTGGAGTGTGTACACACCCCATTTAGGAACTTGCATCACAGTCCTTCACAACATTTCCTGCCAGTTACTGAGACAGTCTGCAGTAGTGAAGCTGCTGTGCAGAAGGTAACAAACTTCCACTTCAAAAAGGAAAATTATTTGGTCTGTGTTAACACCCCTTTTAGTGCTCCATATATGATTTCACAACACGGGGACACAAAAGTTAAACCTTATATTATCGGGAATGTTGTAATAAATAGTAATGTTTTAGAAAGCCGTTACATTTCACTGTTCTTTAGTATGTAGGTTTGCATGTGTGTGTGTGTGTGGGCATGGGATGACCCCTGTCGATATTTCTGTTACTTCTGCAAACGTTATCCAAGACGTATGCATGTATATGTTGTCATCATGTAAGTAGATATGCTTGGACACCTAATAGTTGACTTCATTCACATTCAGAAACTTTTTATATATTTTGCTTTTCATATTGTATTCCTTAAGAGGAAATGTCATTATACATTGCATTCAAAAAGTCATTGTACAGTTAACCATACAATATTGCATAAATGCAACTACACAATTACTTTTTGAATGCAATATATAATGCTGTTCATATACCAGGAAGCATGCACCTATCTTCCCTACTATGCTACTGAAAATCTTTTGGGCTACAGTGATCAAGGATGACACTGTTTTCTTCTAACTTCCTTGGTTTGAGGCTGGAAGTGATGCATCCATGACCTGTCTGACATGAATGAGCCAAGAAAATCATCTCTTGCTTCATATTTGGCCAGTAGATTCCTGCAATGTCAAGACACATCTGCTTCAGTTAACATGCCAGCTGACATATACCTTGTTGGTCAAAATTCAGATCTCTGCTTTGTTCTGCATAATAGTTACATACATAGGAAACGTGTTACTTCCTGTCACTTAGGTTCAAATATTCTACTAAGACCGTTTTTTAAACATGCTCAACATATATATTCTTTCTTTGCAACAGGTAAAAGTATAGTTCACAGACCCGTGTATGCCAATGAAAAGATAAAAGTTTGTGTTTCATGTAAATTTTGAATTTTTTAGATGTGAGGGCCACACACTGACCAGTCGCTACTCATGTGATCGAGGCTTCTTATTCAGCATGGTGACACAAGGCTGCATATCATCTAGTAAAGTGACATGCATAAAGCCACATTGTGCCACAAGCGGCAGTGGTTTCTATATCATCCCAGGCACCAGCTGCCGTGCATATTATCACTGTGACAATGGTGTGCGCACTGATTACCTCTGTCCTCTGGCCACCATTTATGATAGACATAAACAGGTTAGAGAAATAATGTTCCAATTAAACAGAGTAAACATATCAAGAATTTTAGGAAGTGGAATAGAAGTGATGAATCACAGAGTTATGACAAAGAAAGGGAAAGATGACTGGAGAGACTGAAGAAAATCTAAAGAAACCTCAGTTGCATTAGCTGGTGTTGGCTGAGATTCGAACCCGGTGTATCTAAATACAAATGCTCACCTCTCAGTTCTTTGATCTCTACAATATAATACTTTGTCAAAGATTATTACGATTTATTCTTCCCTGTATGAAGGCTCTGGCTGACAACCTGTTCCAAGACTAAATTATTTGGTCCCTTCAACTCTTACGTGGGCGACCAAAGTCTCACGTTCTATCAAGTTTATAAAATAAACTCTTGACATGAAAATTGAAGAAGTGGCATCCTGATTACATGCTCCTTCCATCTTTTTCAGGCTTTCTTCAACAAAATTATCTTCACTAACCTTTTTCATAATGTCTTCATTCCTCATTTTATTGTGACTTATGGATGGAATTTATATTTTCATATCATACGGTTATTATATACAGATACTTTTATACACCAACCACTATTACGTATTAGTTGTTCTATTATGAACACATGTTTCAGTCTTTATTAGTGTTTTAGTTCAAAATGCCTAATAAAGACCAAATCTAGTATATTCATGTAAAAGAACAACTAATGTGATTAAAAATGGTTTGTATATAAAAATATCTGTCTTATGGATGGAAGTATTACAGACATCACAGACAATAATAAGTAGGGGAATAGAGGTAATGTGAGAAGTCTGTGAAGGTTAAGTTATGATAAAGAGAAGAGAGGTTTAAGAAACACATTTTAAGAGGGATGTATGTTTTTGTACATTCATAATTAAATAAATGCAGTATTGATGTGTATGTTTAGTCACAGTAGAGTGTCAACTCATCAAAGCAGAACTAAAAATTTCTAAATTATAGTCTGAAATCCCCATACAAAATCTTGTATAAGATTTTGGCTTCAGAATTTATTAATCAAATTGTTTTCAGATACAAATGAATGAATATAATGCCATCATGTTAGGAGATACTAAAAATAAAATATTAACAGTACTGTACAAAACTTCAAAATTCATGTAAAATTATACAAAATCAGTTATAACAGTGCTTAATAAAATTTTAATGTGATTTATATATTCAGAACAAAAACTAGCAAAAATGTAGCTTTTGTCTCCAACTAATCTAAATTTTGATTTTGTTTCTCTAGCCAAGAGTTACTTAAGTTTTTGGAGCATTCAACCACAGCCTGTGCAGAGGTGTAATTTGTGGCTCTCCCAACCAAAAACTTTCTAACTGCAAGGTGAGTCAGAAAAGATTAGACATAAATATATTTAAGAATCTGCATTTATCTGTCAATCTGAAATGTTTATAAAAAATGCAACTTGATAAAAATGTACTCATTCAAGAATAAACCTCATCTAGCATTTAACAAATTTAAATTTGAAAACTCTGGGACCAAAGGAGACCCCATTATTTTGGAAGTGGAATAAAGCTATATGAAAGCGAGAATCGTAAAGTTCCTATTCAAACATTAAAGCAGTGTAGGTAATCATCCTAGTATTAATTTTTATACAGTTTCGAGTCTGTTTAATCCTTTCTGACTCATCTAGCAACACTTGTCTACATTCATGTAGTTATTTTTCATTTTAAAACACTGCAAGAGGCAAAAAACTGTGGGCAAAATAATGTGGTTTCTGCACAATGTTCCTTTTTTATGAACTTAATTTTTGATAGTGGACATTTCAACATGTCAGGTGACACATTGTTCATGGTTTGAGGTGAGGAAAAGCATAAGCCACAACCTGTGCCTCATTTTCCTGTTCTAAAATTAGTCCTGGAACATTATGACCAGACCTCACAAGGTTCTGCATGAGATGAATAATGGTACAACCCACAATGACAGGTATTGGAACATAAGTAACTTAGAGAATAATGTAAAAATTATTTTATGGGACATTAAATTAGCTGGTCTGGATGTAAACACAGATAAAACTAAATACATAAGCAAGGAATTAAACCAAAAACAATAACAAATCATTGGAATGTTTTCTACATAAGATCTGTTGTACTAAAAGTTTCTTAACAACGAAAATGATTTATTTATGACAACTATGCAAGTTTATTGTTGAACTTTATTTAAAAACTAACTTTACACAGACTGCTAGAATCCACAAGTATTGTCAGATTTTTTGTTCTGAATACACTGACGGTATGCTCTCTCATTGAGTGTTCTCACAAGAAAATCAACAACATGCAACTCAGTGCTACAGAGAAGGTAATTTTGAAATATTCTGTGACTATGTTTGCAGGAAATGAAAACTGGTACTTTGATTTGTGTAATATGAGTGCTTATGGAAATGGGTTGGTGGAGGATATGAGTGGATGGAACTTGGTCTTTAAAGATGAATGCTTGGGTAGTAATTTGAAAGAAGCTCATTACCATTTCTTAATCTCTACAGCTCGCTCTGTACACAATAGAGTGGGATGGCACAATGACTAATATGTGGGAGATACATAATTCAAATCATGGCCGGGAACAGACTATCCTGAGGTCGAATGATGGTGGTGATGTTAATATTGGTCTTCTGGGTTATGACACCATGCAGACTTGTATGTACTAACGCTGTTGAAGGAAATACTGCCTCTAACTTCATGCCTTAAGCCCTGAAGATGGAGGCAGGGTGTCCTTCTAAAATGCTGGTATCTACCTACAAGTCCACATGGTGTTACAACTCAGAAAACTACACTGACATATTCTGAGGTTAATTGTGATTTTCTTCAGTTCTTCCAAGCAAATGTGAGAATGGTGTCAGTATGAAGTGGAATGTAAACATGTACTTGCATCATAAACAGAAGAATCTGAAATTCTTCATTAAGCCACCTTACACGGATGGTAGCCCGGGAGAATTTATTGTACTTAGTCGCCACGAAAGCTTCAGATCATACGACATTATTGCTGATATGTTTATTGTTGTTCTTAGTTGAAAGAGAAGGGAATGGAATATGGCAGAAAGGGTGAAAGGTGAAGTGATAAAGAAAATAATAAAATGGAGGAGGGCTAAGATGCAAAAGAAGTAATTAAACATTGAATTTCAATGGATCTTTTCCACTAAGTACTTTTAACCTGCAGTGGAGTTTAGTAGTGCAGATATAGTAAAGTGTCTGAGTATGGGCTGGATGGCTGATATTCAATTCCTGAAAGGAGCAGCACCATACCTAGGACTGGCTTTGGACTTACTTAGTTCTCTACCATATAGGTAATCTGGAATATTTACTTCAGGGCAAAGTCATGAGATTGTCAAGCTGGTCATTCACAACAACCTACATTCAAGGTCTGTAATGCATGCCCCCTTACTGTATAGTGCTTAGGTATAGAGCAACGTCACCTTGAATCTTTATTATACAATCATAAATCTTGTAATTAATGCAGATTCAAGGGTCTTGAAACACTTTCTGCAATTGCATTTGACAACTGCAGATTTCTCTGTGTTTCACTTTCAGCATGCTTACTTCATACATGTGGGCATGAAATCAATCAATCTATGGTTTTCATTAGTCACTACAGTGGCCATTTTGGTCTCAAAATATGCATCTGTCACTTCACTACCAGTATCATATGTTTTTAAAGTAAGGCATATAAAGATACACTCCACATTGTAGCATGACATTCATTAAAACATTTCCTTTTCTTTGCAGGCTTGTGTTCGAGAAGCTGGTTTGTGTTACGAACCTCTTTGCACTGGTCGAGTAAATGGCCACTATCCTGATACCTCACATCAATGTGAGCGTTCCTTTGAGTGTTCTGGCGGCACTCTGAAAGCTGTCTACGGCTGTCCTGCTGGACAACTGCATAATGGTCACACATGTCTACCTACCGATGCAGTGCCCTGTCAAGCTCCTGAGAGCACTGCTGTGGCTATTCAAGTACCAACTTCAAATCCCTGTATGAACCTTCCTGATGGTTCCCATACTACAGAATTGAATGATAATTGTCGCAGCTATATCCTGTGTAGAGCAAGCAAAAATGTTGCAACGCTTCGTTGTCCTGTAGGGTTTCGCTATGATGGTAGACAATGTGCAGATGCAGCCAAAACTCCTTGTTTTTCAGACTGTCTACATCGTTCTGATGGTTATTACACAGATCTGATAACTGGATGCAAAAATTACTTTTACTGTTCAAGAGGTCAGATGACAGAGCGCAGGATCTGTGTAGAAGACACACTGTACAATGGACACATGTGTGTTCCTTCTCAGTTATTCACTTGCCCCCTGGATTCTCCAGCATCTCTTTCAAATAAAAGAAACAGGTGTTCCTCTCAAACAGATGGCTTCCACACAGATTTTGCCAGCAGTTGCCAGGGCTACTACTTTTGCTTGGAAGGAAAGGTGATATTAGAAGGTTCATGTACAGTAGGACAGGTGTGGAATGGTAAGACATGTGTTGAGCAAAGAAAGTTCCTCTGCAAGGGGCCTGAACCATGGGCAGGATGTGTAGGCATGGCAGTGGGATTATACCAAGACCACAGTTCTCAGTGCCGTTATTATTACTACTGTGAGAATGGGAATCGGACACAGCTTGTATGTCCTCAGGGTCAACTGTTTGATGGGAAGTCTTGTGTATCTTCAACTGAATATAAATGCCCAAACATAGAGCCTGATGTCTGTAACCAGAAACCTGATGGTTATTACACTGATCTGGATTCCAGTTGCAGGTCATATTATTACTGCTCCAAAGGATATAAGTTCACATATGTGTGCACAGGTTCTTATGTCTTTGATGGGAAAGAATGTGTGGAACCAAGTAGCTACAAATGTCCACACACCTCAAGTGACTGTGTGTCTCTATCCAATGGGTATCACTATGATAAGATTTCTGGATGCCACAAATATTTCTACTGTTCAAATGGTGACAAGATAACAACTCTTACATGTACAGGAAATAAGGTATTTGATGGTAAAAGATGTGTGGAATCTTCAGAGTTCCAATGCCCTGACCCCACGCCAGAAAACTTATGTGCTTCACGACCAGACGGATTCTTTGCACACACAGGCAGCAGATGCCAGAAATATGTTTATTGCAAGGATCAGAAGCAGATGTCAATTTCTACTTGCCCTGATGGGAAGGTATTTGATGGATCAGCCTGTGTTGATATGTGGAATAAGAATACTTGTATTTCTGTGGTAGTTGAGCCCAATCCCACACGCAGTCCACACTGCACAAATATGCCTAATGGTTTCTATCAGAACTACACCTCTGGTTGCCATAGCTATTTCTACTGTATTGATGGCATGAAAACAATTCTCAATTGCCCTGGAAATGAGGTATTTAATGGGCAATTATGTGTCAGTTCTACCTCATATACTTGCCCAACTGTGTCTACTACACAAACAAATCCATACATTTCAAACAGTTCTGAACACAAAACTGTACAAAATGGAAAGTATGTGATTCCACATATTTTTCCTCCAACTTGACGAGTACTTTTGGTCTTCTTTGTTAAAAAAATATATGAATAAATGTAAATTCTCAGGATTAAACTAAAGCACTAACCAATCTGTTCATTTCAACATAACAAAGTAAAACTTAAACCTAATGAAGTATAGTGCAATGTGTTCAATTCTTGTTCAGTAAAGTTAAATGACATACAGAGTTTGTGACCAGGCACAAAATTACATTTCTGGTGTAGCCCCTACCAGAACATTTCAAAATATAAACATCAACCAGTAAATTTCAGAAATTGTCAGAATTCATCAGTGCTTTATATGACAAAAAGCAAGCTTGAGCACTGCTTAGGAATATTTAACAATCATTTAAAAATATTTTAATTTTAGTTTTTTTTGTTATTATTTATTTGTTATTTTAACTGACACATCATAAAATATTCACAATTGGTGTGGTTCTCCTCTGATCTAAAGATAATACTAAGAATACACATTAAAATATGCATACTTAAGTTCGCTGTGTGAATAAACTACTCTGGACCTATATATTTTTGATAATTCTCAGGTATATGCTTTCTTTTCTCAGCTATCCATGTACATTTCTCTGTACTGCATAACATAACAAAGCCAAGATACACACTCTGGTGTTAAAGATTTGAATATATTTTGAAGTTGTATTTATAAAAAGCAATTATAATAATCTGTTGTTGGAACATTTAATTATGAGAAAATAGTCTTTTAAACTTTTTCCAATTTATTTAAACCAATGTTAGTAAAAGATATTACAGTAGCTCCAATTTTTTACTAAGAAGATATGAGCCCAGGGCAGATTCCACCAATAATATATTATTCTTTACTCAAAATACTTGCCTTAAGACATGTAATGGCTTGTGTGGAAATTAGTTCTTCAGGTTCTTGCATGTTGACCATATAATAAATATTTGTTCTAGTTCTCACAAAAGACAAAACCCATGGTGGCAGCAGACAAGATTATACATAACTTTAAGGATGTGGCCATGTCTATTCAACACAGCTTACCTAACAGAGTCCTATGATTTTGCAGGCAAGGGTAAAATACCATGAGTAAGGACATAACTGTGTCAACTCTCAGCAAAATTTATACATCACAACAGCAAACAAAATGTGATGTAATTATGACTACAAACTATCTCCAGAATGCTTATCTCTTGTTTTACATCTGTGTATTCAGTGCACTTTCTCATCTTGGCAATCGTGCAAAACAATTAGTACTATGTATGTCAAGGTCTAAAATAAATCACAAGATTTCTTTAATAATAAACGTCATTATGTCAATTATATCACTTTGTAGAATCTAAGAAACATACTCAGTAGAATTTTAAGAGATACGGTATGATTTGTACTGTGGATTTGGGCTGGCAATTGTTTTCACAGAAAAAGGAACCGTACTGAAAGATTTTCACACTATAATAATAACAACACACACAATACTCACTGTTCTTTGACAGCAATAATAAAACCATGACACCAGCCTGAACAGTAGCAGCCAACAAAGAATATAATAATAAACTTTCTTGTTGAAATCAACCAAGTGCCCATTTTTGCCACTTTTATCTAAATGTGATATGACTTCTAAATTAACCATTGGCATTTAGTGACTAACTTCACATTAAAATTATATAATCTGACTAAGTAATGATTTTGAGCTTATTGCTTGTTTCATATAAAAATTTAGAATGTATACACAATGGTAAGCAAACTGACAGTAAGTAGGTGGGCTTCTGAAGGCTCAGTTCTCACTCAGCACATTATAGAAAGAAATTTATTCAAACTGATCCAGTGGTTCTTCAATTTAAAAGATGTATGTATTCATGTACCATTTGACATAAACTGGTTTATGATGTAACATAAAAATTATCTTAAGTTACCTTACAGTTCTTAAAATCTGCATGCATCTTCTGGGACAAATGGTGCAAGGAGCATTAAACTGTCAGGTCTTAATAACAGAAAAGAATCACATTTTCACCATGCACTTTCAGGCATAAATTTTATATGAATAACCTTTGTTTTTTCTGTCACTACTTTCTTTATTCCTCTTTTCCTCTCTTCATCTGTCAAAGCCTGTGTACAGCTAAGATGATACTCTTCTAATAAAGTAAGATACTTAATGTTTAAGGTTCTCAAACTGTAATAACAATAAAAAAGAAAATCAGTAATGGCAGGCAATCAAGTAAACTAAAATTCCCTTTCTTTACAAAAAGCACCACTTTGTAAGAAATAATGTACCCAGTTGACATGATCCATGGGCAGAAGAAAACAAAACAATTTTTATGTACCAAAGAAATGACATTGACCCACTTAAGTTATCATTCCCATAACTGCATTATTCACCAAATTCTTGTCAAGAAAAACTACCTTACAAATTGTTACATTATGCCTGAAAATTGTAAATTTTCTAACATGTAAGAATATCTAAGTCTGCAGTGGAAAATTTCAAGTCACAAGTCAGATATCAGAACAGAAATTTAATGACACTTCATATGTTCTACAGTATATAAATTAGTG